GTTGGGGAGCTCAGCAGGGAGGGATGGGGGGGTGGGCTCGTGCCCTGCTCTCAGTTGCCCCCTTTTAGATTTGGAGAGTGGCGTGGGGGGCAAGGGGTGCTTGCAGGGTAGCTGGGTTGGTTCCCTGATGTGGGTGGCTGGAGGAGAAAAGCCATCTAAATTTAGGGTGAGGAGGGATCCATGATCCTGGGAACAGATGTGGATACCTAAAGCGGGGTGTGAATGGAAGAAAAACCATGGGCTCTCCTCCTGGCAGGGATTGTGCCCCCCCCTTTTCCTTTGCAACCTGCCACCCACCCCATGAACGTCCTTAGCTCTGCCCCCAGCCTGTGCCTGCCCTACCCTCTCCCTGCAGAGAGGAGTCATGAGCTGGGGCCCCAGGGCAGCTGTGTCCATGGGTGAAGATCCCACTGGGCAGGGGCAGGGAAAGGGGACCCTCCTTGCCGCTCCTTGGTTCCCCACCTTTGTCTCCAAAGCCTTCCTTTCTTCCATCCCTCCTACACCACCTGCCGATGGTGGCTTCCTCCAGACCTCGGGAGAAGCCTTGGTCTGGAAAGCAGATGCCCTTCATGGGTTAAGTAAGTCCTGCCCAGGGCAGGTCTCTGGGGTTGGAGGTGCTACAGGCAGGTGTGGGTGGCACTGCCAGCCCTCAGGGCAAGGCCAGAGCCCGGAGGCAGCAGAGCCTGGCTCCTGCAACTCTGCCCTCTCCCCAGTGCCCAAGGACCACGCCACAGAGCGGGACGGTCCCCGACACCCTGCACACAAGCCCGTGTCCTGCTGGTCACTTCCAAGTTTAATGCTCCAATTTTACTGTGGCTTTAGCCCCTCGAATGCAGGGCTTGGTGGGACACCCTCCATGGGTGGGGGCATCCCCAAGGACAAGGCTGGGTGGGAGGTGGAGCAGGAGAAGGGATGACAGCAGGGCTGGGAGCCCCGGGCACTGAGGGGCAGCCCGGGGTCTTTCCCCCCAGGTCCAAGGAGGTGCCCCCATCCTCTGGAGCAGGACTTTGGCCCAGTGGATGCACAAGAGCTGGGCATGCTGGGCTCTGCACTGGCTGGAGGGAGGGATTGGTCTTCAATAAAACAGAGAGGTGCTGTGACCTGTGTCCTCTCGCGTCTGCAGGGGGCTGTCGAGAGGGGAAATCACCCAGCAAACCCCCTCCCATCTGAGTCAGAGCACCTGCAGGGCTGGGGTGGGGAGGATGCAGCCACCCTGCTGCATCACCTTTTCTCCAGGCATCATCTCTGGCTCTTACAGGCCCCAAGAGACAGCTGGAAACCTCTGGGCTTCTTGAGACACCCCTCCAGGGAAGCCACATATCCTGTTCCCAGGCTGGCAAAGGGATGTGGCAGCTGGAGGCAAAGAGGAGATGCAGTTGGCCTGGTGGGATGTCTGCCACCCTGCCATCACCCAGGGGGATCTAGGATGCCAGGAGCCAGATCTCCCATGACTCACAGAGCCCTGTGCAACCAGCTCAGGGCAATGCACTGGGCCCAGTATGGCCTGGTGGTCAGCCCCCAGCCCCTCTCCCTGCGTCCCCCAGATCAGAGCAACCCCCAGATCTGGGGGCTCTGTGCTGCCCCCTCTGCATGCCTCCAGGGTCTGGTCACTCTCATAGCCTTGGTGGCATCTGCTCGAATGCGTCCTCACTGCCCTAATCAGCTTAAGGGAGAGGGATCTGATGTCAGTGTCTCCTCTGGGGAGGGCTCAGGCTGCAGGGTGAGGGGGCCTCATGCTGCCAGCAGTAAGCCCACGTATGGGAAAGGAGCTGCAGGGACTGGGGGGGTCCCTCCCGGGGGGGGGGGTGTCCCTCCCTCCAGGGTCCCTGAGCATTGCACAGCCTGGTCCCCAAGGACGGCAGGAGGTGAAGTGGGGCAGAAAGGAGTAGTTACCCCCATGCACACAGCACTCAGGCTGGAGACA